TATTTCACAATTGTAGTGATGGAGGGCTTGGAGTGGACGGTTTTGAGGTGAGTGGAGGGTGGCTTTTGCAGATTCATCATCACCACTCCTGATGTGGTCCTTTGAACCATGCATCCCTTGGCCTCCATCTCCCAGTTGAGGCACACTTTCTTCAGTGTCCTGTGCTACTTGGGCAGGTACCCTCAGTACCTCTGTTAGACTCATCTGCTGATGTGCATGAGTGAGCATCAGGGAGCAGGTGTTCGCCAGGGTCTCTAGCACTGACTGTTGCACCCCCAGGAATTGTTCAGTGATTGACGGTGGGGGGCCAAGCACATGTTGGAAGCTGTCTTGGAAGACTATGATTAAGGCCCTTACTCTTGGCTCAGGAATAAAATGCCTTTACTGTCTTCTCAGGTTTTTTAGTGATGGCATGGACAGTACTACTGCCTGCATTGTGCCTGTTACCTGTGCTGGTGAAGAAACGGGTTCTCAAAGAGGGAGAGCCAAGGGCACTTCAGAGTTCCCTTAGGTAGAACTTTGTCTTTCCAACAAAAGTAGACTTTACCTCAGCAATTTATTTTGTTCCCAGGTGGCTGACCCAGTGGTCACATTTTGTGAGACGGTGGTGGAAACATCCTCCCTCAAGTGCTTTGCTGAAACACCCAATAAAAAGTAAGCTGGGAGCATAGTGTCCCTGGACTGGCAGCCTCAAGGACACTGTCCCCCTACACTCACCCCAGTTCCACCCCAAGCCCAGCACTGTGGAAGTAGAGACACCCAAGACAGGGAGAGAAGATGCTTGTGCTTAAGATACCTGTGTTTACCCCAGCCCCTTGTCCCTTATGCTTTTGGACAAGATGCTGTGTGAATCCTTTGTCTTAGATATTACCAAGAGGAGTTCCATAGTTGCCACTTCTCCTCTGTCATGTGATAAAATAAAAATTTGCCCCCAAAATAAATTATTGTTATTTATTTTTTTGCTACTAAGGATGGAACCCAGGGCCTTGCATGTGCTAAGCATGTGCTCTACCACWAAACTACATTCCCAGCTGTAGCTCCACTTGTTTAACAAACTAATAGACTGAAATGAAAGAAGACAAGTCCTTTGCTCCACCCTGCCCCGAGGCTTCCTCTGATGTCACTGCCTCAGCTGTCTGCTTTGTTGCCCTTTCCTTAGGAATGCCCCACTAGTCCTGTGAGCCCTCCTCATTGCCTTTGTCTTTCTCACCAGGAACAAGATCACCATGATTGCTGAGCCTCTTGAGAAGGGCCTCGCTGAAGACATAGAGAACGAGGTGGTTCAGATCACATGGAACAGGTGGGTGCATGGCTCTGCCTCTAGGGCAGATGCCGCAGTTTACCTGCCACACATCATCGTTCTGGGAAGGAGTTATGTGTCCCGCCTTTGCTAATGTTCCGAGCACAGCATGGGCTGAATGGGGTGACTCTTCTCCAGAAAGGGAGGGTCCATGGTCCCGAAGCCTTCAACAGAGCCGTCTGATACCTCCATTTTCTCCTTTCCCCAGAAAGAAGCTAGGAGAGTTCTTCCAGACCAAGTATGATTGGGATCTGCTGGCTGCCCGGTCTATCTGGGCTTTTGGCCCTGATGCCACAGGCCCCAACATCCTGGTGGATGATACCTTGCCCTCTGAGGTACTGCAGAACTGATGGGAACCACGTGGCACTCTTTATAGCTTCTGAGTAGAGGAAACTGCAGTGTGTCCTCCTTTTCTCAAAATATTTTGAGTTCTCTGGTGAAGGAGAGGGTCTTCTCGTAGCTGTACCTCTCTTCTCCCCCTCTCAACTTTTCGGTTGGAAGGAGGACTGCTGAGGAACCTTCATGTTTCTCTACAGGTGGACAAGGCTCTTCTTGGCTCAGTGAAGGATAGCATCGTTCAAGGTTTCCAGTGGGGAACCAGGGAGGGGCCCCTGTGTGATGAATGTAAGTCCATAGGGTCTGTCCCATGTCCTGGGCCAACTTCCTCCCCTTTCCTTATCCCATTGCCACCACTTGGCACTTCCTAGAAATGAAGTCACTTCTAGACCAACATTGCTTCTTACTCCTGAATAGGAGCTGTCTTTGGGTGTATGTGACAAGAGATATAGTGAAGACTGAGATTGGAGTGGCTTATTGACCCAGATTGGACTTCATGGGACTAAATGTGAAATTCCTAGAACTTGATTCTGCTTCCAAACAAAAAGGTTTAATATCTGCAGCGGGGAAAAAAAAAAAACCCACAAATTTGTAGAAAAGCTCTTATGGCCTGAATCAAATGTATACTTAACTGCTAACCTCTTTTACCACACACTTTCTTGATCTGATTAGAACACCCATTCTCAGATAGTGTGTATATAAGGTACTGAATCCAGGGGTGCTGTAGCACTGGCTACATCCTCAGCCCTTTTTTAATTTTTATTTTGAGACAGGATCTCGCTAAGTTGCTCAGGTTGGTCTCAAACTTGGTACTCCTGCCTCGTACTCCTGAGTTGCTGGGATTAACAGGTGGTGTCACTGTGCCCAGCTCCAGTGTGATTTTTGTACCACATTTTGTGTGGCTGTGATGTATGTAATATAGCAAGATTCTGTACTTCTCTGATATAGCCCTGTGACTAGCCCCAGAACCAAACCTCACAGAGTTGTCCTCATCTCCTTTTTAGTGATTCGGAATGTCAAGTTTAAGATCCTGGATGCGGTGGTTGCCCAGGAGCCTCTGCACCGGGGTGGAGGCCAGATTATCCCCACAGCCAGGAGAGTTGTCTATTCTGCCTTCCTCATGGTAAGAGCAGGGCTGTAGGGGACCATCCTGTTTCCCTAGACAGGGCCATAAGTAGAGGACCAGGCTTTGGGTGCCTGGAGACATTTTATCCAGGGTCTCCCTTCTCAGCCCTCCCCAAGCTGAGCCCTTCCTCCCTGCTCTGTTGCAGGCCACTCCTCGTCTGATGGAGCCTTACTACTTTGTAGAGGTCCAGGCCCCTGCAGACTGTGTATCTGCCGTTTATACTGTCCTGGCCAGGCGAAGGTGAGCAACCCCAGTATGTTAGGGAGAGTGCTAAGATCAAGAGCAGAACAGGAAATGCCTCAGTGCTGAGGGGGCAGAGTAGAGCTTAGCCTCAAATCTGTCCACTCCAGACCCAGTCAGCTCACTTTCCAGAAGGAAATAGGAGAGGAATGAGGCAATTTCTGGCTTTTATCACAAATTACAACTGAAATTTCTTGGACCCCTACTCATAGTGCTCCTGGGGGAAGTACTGAAGCAAGTCAACCATGTGAATATCTCTAGGACCCTATCCTGTCTGCTTTTTCTGCTCTCTGTAGAGCATTCTTGGTTATTTTTTCTTTGCTGGGAACTCTGGGCTAGGTTGAATCTGGGAGCAGCAAAAGCCAGATTGCTCCTTGGCTTTTGGCCTCTGTATACGTAAGGATTCAACCTTTGCCTTTCTGTCCCAGGGGGCATGTGACTCAGGATGCACCCATCCCAGGCTCCCCTCTCTACACCATCAAAGCTTTCATTCCAGCCATCGACTCTTTTGGCTTTGAGACTGATCTCCGGACTCATACCCAGGGACAGGCCTTTTCTTTGTCTGTCTTCCACCATTGGCAGGTAAGAAAATGGGGCAAACCAGCCAGCCTGGCCTTCCACCTATACAAGCTGATCCCTATCTAACCTATTTCCCCAACCCCCCAAGTGAGGTGTTTAGTATCCTAGTAGTCCTGCTTTGGGCTTGAAGCCTTTGGAATCCAAGTCTGCCTAGAACATTAGAAACCCTTTGCCTTTCAGATTGTACCTGGTGATCCTCTGGACAAGAGCATTGTCATCCGCCCCTTGGAGCCACAGCCAGCTCCTCACCTGGCCCGGGAATTCATGATTAAAACCCGTCGTAGGAAGGTACGTGTTCCTCAGGCCCATTGTAGTCCCTCTACCCCCAGGAGCCTCAGCAGAAGTTTGGTTCCTTTCTTCTTCATGGACCCTTTTCCTGAGGGCCTATAGACTGAGAATAGTTTGCGGCACAGTGTGGAAGGAAGTGATTTGTACATTCCTTAGACAACCAGAACTGGGGCCTTTAGGGAAAAGGGAGCTTGGAGAGGAGTGTCTTCTGGACTGTGACAGTACCCTAAAGGCACAGCTTCTAAATAGTTACCTTCATTCCAGCTCCTGCCAGCCTCCACCTCCAGCCCAGATCTTGGACAGCCCCTAGCTCAGCCAGTCCCCATATGGAGCTCACTCTTGCACTTGCCCCCATTCTCCACAGGGCCTGAGTGAAGATGTGAGCATCAGCAAGTTCTTCGACGATCCTATGTTGCTGGAGCTCGCCAAACAAGATGTTGTGCTCAATTACCCCATGTGAGTGCAGGTGTTCCTGGCAGTTCCTGGACTTGAAGCTGAGACCTGTGTTACTTGGTCTTCGTGTTGTCAAAGAGTGTCTGGAATTGCTGTGGCCATGATGAACAACTCACAAACCTCCAGTCCAGAGTCCCAGTGAAGAAGGGCCATTGGCCTCCTGATTCTTTCTGTGGCCTCTGCCTGGCTCCATTCCCAAGGAAGAGAGAGGAGCTTGGGCCCAGGGAAAGAGAAGAGGATGAATGTTATTTAGTTTGTTAGTTTGTTTGGAAATTTTTTGTGGTACTGGGAATTAAACTCATGGGCACTCGACCACTGAGCCATATGTCCGGCCCAATTTTGTATTTTATTTGAGACAGGGTCTCACTGAGTTGTTTACCACCTCGCTAAATTGCTCGGGCTGGATTGAACTCGCAATCCTCCAGCATGCCCGGCCTGGAGGATGAAAGTTTTTAACCCCAAGAGCCACTGTCTTCAGGATTTACATGGAATTTTATTTTTTACAAGTTCAACCTTAGTTGTGTTTTGTAAATGAACAGAAAATTCTGACCTCTGCCTTGGCCTGCTTCTTTCATCCGCCGCACCCCCATCCCGTCTAGTCCTTGTGCTTACATTCTGGATATATGTCATCTCCCATGAGGCATCATTGCCTCTGCTCCAGCTGCTGCCTCCTTCCTGCCTGGGTCCCCAGGGAAAGCAGTCTGTGGAGGAACGCCTTTCTCTTACTTCAGTGTTCCCATGAGCCTCAAGGCCCCTTCGTTGCCCCTCCATCCCGTGGGCACTCCATGCTGCTTCTGGGCAGACCTGAGGTGGTATGGGAGTTGATGGGATTCTGGGATTTAAGGTCTGCCTACCTTGACCTTAGGAGACCACTGCCCCTTATATGTCTCCCTGTCCCTGGAGTTGGGAACCAAAGCTCTATGATATCCAGCCTTTCTTCTAGGTCCCTTCCTCTGCTCTCTGCTAGTGAAGAAGACACTTGACTTTCCTCAGTACTGGTTTATTAGGCACATACAGAGGCTGAGGAGGGGGTCAGGCCACCCAGCCCCCTCAGGAGCACTACTTCTCCCCAGTGTCCTGTGCCGTCCTCTTGCTGTAATCTCTGTACATCGTGTACACAGCGCCTGTGTGAGGAAGAAGAAGAAATGCCCCTTGCCATCTGAACCCTGTACCCATTCTGTGGCTCCCCCTGGTGTCCCAAAGTTTCCATTCTAGCTGGTCCTTTGAGAGTTCGGCATCCTTGCTTATCAGTCCCAACAGCTGCTCCATGCATCTAACCACACACCTGTGGGAACAGCCCATTCAGCAGTTCACAAAGCACTTTACTGTGTATTCTGTATCTGTCTGAGATACCTCAGCAATCTGTGAAGTGGGCAAGCTGGGGTGACTAGCTGTGTTATACATTAGAAACAGGCTTACTGTCACAGCAAGTAGCTTCCTGCCTTTTTTATCAAGAAAGGAAGAGATCCAACATGTTCTGCTGCATGACATTTCTCATTTCTAGGGCAACCTCATGAAGCAGGCTGCACACCATCCCACAGGCCCAGGGCAGGAGACTGAACAGGGAACCCTGACAATGTCTCAGTTCAGAAGCCTCTTCAAGGGTTTGATGTGCATCCTGTGGGAAGTCAAGGGCCCTTTGATTGTGAGAACTCAGACTTTTACCTCAGCCAATTTGCCCTTCTCCTGTGACCTGCCCCCCACCCCCAAGCTGCTTACCTAGCATGATTGCACCCACARCACAGGCCTGTGCTGCCACTCGGGTGTGAATCAGATGTATGGACATCTTGGTGGAACCACGAGCTTTCAGTCGATAAATTCTGTATGCTGCCACCAGCAGGCAGCCTCCCAAGCCTGTGGGCAGAGAATGTGACCAACCCTTGGCCTTGGCCTTCAAGCTCAATTGTCCTCTGATGAGACAGCCTCTAGACAGGCTGGGAGGCTAGATAAGTGGCTGCTTTTGTGCAGTTTGAGGGGAGCGGATAGCATTAGGTTGAGCTGATTCCCCTTGATGGCATTTTTAAAGTGGCTGTATCCCTTCCCCATATACAAATAGCCCATCCCCATGACCATGCCACCTTGGCGCTGGGGCCCCGTCTCTAACCACAGCTGGCTCCCACATCCTGGTACAGCTGTTTTTCTGCTCTCCCAGGGACTTAAAGGAATCCCTGGGGGATCCTAAATTATAATTCTGACCCTCCCCATCCTGAGGCTGGTGTTGGTGCCCCAAGTTTCCCTTTGTCCCATGCATTCAGTTCCTGACCACTTCCACCCATCCAGACTCCCTTGTCTCATTGTGAGGGTTTGTTCCTGGTGCAGTGCCTAGGACCACTTAATTTCTCTAACCTCTGCCTCTTTTTTTTTTTTTTTTTTTTTTTGTGGTGGTGGTGGTGGTGGTCCTGGGGATTGAACCAGGGCCTCATTCTTGCTAACCAAGCACTGTACCACTGAACTAAATCCCCAACCTCTCATTCTCCTTTGGAAAGACCAGAAGTCACTATCTCTTTGAGAGAAGTTCCCCCTTCATGTCCCCATTCTTTTCCCTACTCACCTATGGGTACCAATGGAGAGTCCCTGGTCTTCCTTAGGAACTTCTCAGACACGCTGTCCTCGCCCTCAGGTGGCACCCACCAGCCTTTGTTAGCAGACATGATCCTGGACCCAGTTGTTAACAGCCGGGGGTCTTAGACTTCAGCCCAGTCCTAGAAGGTACCCCACAGTAAGAATTCTGGTTCTCAGTCTGGAGTGGAAAGGAGTTGGTTACCCGCTAGCATCCTCTCACCATGCTAAGCACAGTCTCCTCTTGAAAAGATGTCCCTCCTGGGTATCCTGTCTCAGGTGTTTGGGCCACTAGCAGCCACTTCCTCCATGTCCTTCCTAATGTCTGCCTCTTCCTCCCAACATCTGCTTCTTCCCCAACTCAGACTTTACTGTTTTCTCTGCCACCCCCCTTCCCTCCATTTGCATCACTGGGTAAGATCCTTGGGCCAAGAAAAACAACTGGAAAAATCCACAGAGACTGAGAGGAACAGTCCTTGAATCTTGGGGGCCTCCACTGGTCCTGGTTTTGTGACAGTTACTCCTGAGGGAGCTAAAGAGTAGGGTCTGGCCCTTGGGGAGCCAGAGTCATCCCAGTTACAGTACTGAATACTAAATCACCAGAGGCAGAAGTTCAAACGATGAGACATTGATTTATGTATAATTTAGCATATATTTTGCACATTAATACTAAAACAAATTCCGGTCTCTGAGCTGCTCTTCAAACCACTACCTCCATTTCTAGGGAGAAAACTCCTACTGTTCTAACTTGCCAACCCCTGTAAATATCTGCTCTGCTCACAAACTAGATGTAGTCCTGGTCCTCACAGCGGGATTTCTGCCAGTGGGATGCCTTCTTAAGTCCAACCATAAGACCAATTCTCCCTACTTGAGTCAACTTCTCTTCCTAGTTGCCCCTTCTCTTCTCCTGGAGGAGAAATGACCAGTGGCCCCACAGGTCTCAGCATGCTGGTGCTTACCCTAGGAGATGGTAGAAAGTGGAGCGTGAGCAGCAGGGCCAGGGCTCAGCATCTGCTGTTTTGAACCGTCCAAGAGCTGATGTCGGAGCTATCACTATGGGGTCAGGGAAGCAGTGACTCGAGCTTTGTGCAGACTTTGAAGTCGGGGAAGAGAGGGGTGGAGAAAGGACAGGGCATGGGTCTTAACCCCCCATCCGCTGAGCTCCAGACACTGGAAAAGCATGTTGGACTGTAGCGGCACCCCCTCCTCCACACACACAAAAAAATCTTAGCTAAGCTTCTCCAGAAATTTTCACCATAATTGATTTTAAGACTATAAGCAGGGCCAGGATTGTGGCTCAATGGTAGAGTGCTTGCCTAGCATGTGTGAGACACTGGGTTCAATCCCTGGCACCACATAAAAATAAACAAATAAAGGTATTGTGTCCATCTACAACGAAAAATAATTTTTTAAAGACTGTAAGCAAGGGGTTGGAGTTGTGGCTCAGAGGTAGAGCACTTGCCCAACATGAGTGAGACACTGGGTTCGATCCTCAGCACCACATAAAAATAAAAAATAAAGATTTTGTATCCACCAATAACTAAAAAAAAAATAAATATTTTTTAAAAAGACTAAAAGCAAAGAGTCTCTCTCAAAAAAAAAAAAAAAAGGTCAATGTTTAGTTAAACTTCCTATTTTCCTGTTGCTCTACTTTACTTGACCATTGGCTGGGAAGAAATCAGCACTCCAGGTACTGTACACCCCTTTACTTGTTTTTCACAAACATGTATCCAGTATAGTAGTTTGTAGAAGTGTGTTTGCAAATGTAAAATGTAATAAAAAGGACAAAACCTTTAAACAAGGCCTCTGGCCTTGAGCTGGGGCTTCACGGAGATGTCTACATTTCTAAGATAAGTTACCAATTGGGCTCCCTGGTAACAGGCTGGCAGGGGGAGGAAAGAAAGGKGAGAAGAAGCTCTCCCCTTCTCAGGTGTTGTCCTTGAAGGGTTAACTTGCCGAAATCAAGTAGAAGAAAAAACTGCTTTTATGTGAACTTCTAGAAACTGTGAACTTCTGAGCCCCTCCCCTTACATGCTGGGTATAAAATTCTGAAACTACCTGCAGGGGTTCAGGGGRTTAATTGATTACAGCAAAAGCTGTGCCTTCTAAACCTGGCTGCAGCCAAATAAAACTGTTTCCTGTTGTCTTGGGTGCCCTGCCTCCTTTGTTCCTACAACAAGACCAGATGGAGAGGATCCTTTAACAGATGTAATCTTCTGGTTCTCAGATGGTGGGATGAGACGTGGTGGTGATATGGAGAACTGAAATGAAGATAAAGAAGCAAAGTTGGCCAGAGTTCCTAGGTTTTCCACCAAGGTACTGGGATTTGAATCTACAAGTGCTTTACAACTGAGTCATATCCCTGTCCTTTTTATTTTGGAGAACAGGGTCTCACCAAATTGACAAGGCTAGCCTTGAACTTGGATTCTCTGTCTCAGCCTCCCACATCACTGAAATTATAACAGGTGTATGCCACCATGCTCAGCTGCTTTCAATACGCTTATAGTCTATATGGAATATAAGTAAAATACCTATTTGTGAGAAACTGACTCTCTGGCCTTGATGTTGGTCTCCTCTCAGGAATGTTTTCTGGACCAAGGAGATTTGTCTGGGGATTTGAAACAACTGGGACTTCTTGTCTCTAGAGCCCTTTGTGCTGCCTGTAGGGTTCTCAGGTTCAGAGATGACAGTGACTGGCATTATTGCCATTGTGTATTAGATACTTATATTTCAGACTTGTCAGAGAGGAAGGAACTGAGCTTCATAGAAACCGAATGATTTATCCAAGGTGCACAACTAATGTTGGTATTATAATCTGAACTCAGGTCTGGCTGCCTCAAATTTTCTGGTCCTATCTGCAATTCTAACCAGAGAGGACCAAACTGAAATCCTCTGGATTGATATTGAGGGTTAGGCATGCAAATCAATTGCAGTACCTTTGACTGAAGAGGGAAAAGCACTTGCTATGCAAATTGGGAAAGATGAGGATACACCTTGGAGGGTCTCACTCCATCCCAGGCCTTTGTTCTTTCTCTAGATTACTTTTGGCCCTGTGTGTGTCCCAAAGGGGCCTTTTCAGCACTGGAAATTTGTCCAGCAGCTGATGTTCCTCTTTTCTCTAACACTCACTGTTCTATGAAGAGACTCAGGGTTATAGCAACTCCCCAGAGCTTTCACATATCCCCGAGCGTCCATGGGAACTCTCTTCCCTGTCTTTCACACACACACACCCCGCGCTGCCTCTTGAACTTTCAAGATATGGATGGTACATATTCTTGCTCATCTAGGCAGGATGAGGGGGATAAAAATGTCTGCATAAGACTCAGGAATCGGGGCTGGGGATGTGGCTCAAGAGGTAGCGCGCTCGCCTGGCATGCATGCAGCCCGGTTTCGATTCTCAGCACCACATACCAACAAAGATGTTGTGTCCGCCGAGAACTAAAAAATAAATAAATAAATATTAAAAATTCTCTCTCTCTCTCTCTCTCTCTCTCTCCTCACTCTCTCTTTAAAAAAAAAAAAAAAGACTACAGGAATCGGGAGTAACTTCAAGTTCTTTGAAAAACGGGGGCCAACCTATGGAAAGCCAAGTTCTGCTTTTCCTTGTTGACTTTATAATGATGCTTCCACAGCATAATTTCAGCCCAGAGCTGAGAAAATGGTAACAGTTGCTGTGATTCACTGGATTTACTGAGCACCTTCTATAGGCCAAGCAGTGTGCTAATTACTTTATGTAGATAACCCCGCATCATGTCCACTCCCTGCAACAGGTCCTGGGGATTGAACCCATTCCCATGYCCCCATACTGGCCTTTAATTTGTGATCCTCCTGCCTCAGCCTCCCTAGTTATAGGCATGCACCACCATGCCCAGCTTCCGCCCAGCAATTTTTTTTTAATTTCAAATATACAAAGTATTTTTATTTCAAAAAAACTTCTGAGAACATACAGTAACTAAAACTTCAAGGAACAAATTTCTGTAGAGTCTTGCTTTAGTAAACAGATAAGATAAAATTATGATAGCATGATTCTTGTTAACATGCCAAGTCTTTAATAATTGTTTCCGTTTCATCATTTCTACATTAGTAATTTGCTTAGCAAACCTCTTTCCCTTCCAAATCAGGGCACGTTAATAGAAATTTTGATGTGCAGGGGTTGAAATTAAAGATGTAGACAGAATTGGTGTATAGTCCAAAGTCAGATATGGAATCAATTAGCCCATAACTGTAATGATTTGATCTTGCCACTGGACCTCTGAGTCTATGTACTCACCTGAGAAATGCGGGTAGCATCTGCCATAGGATTACTTCAAGGGTTAAATAGGATGGTTGTCAGAACTCCTCTGTTCACTGTCTGTTCCTCTTCCTCCAGAAGGAACAAGTGACAGGGAATGGGTATCAGGCTGGAACACCCCTGACAATAGATTGGGAAAATCTCAAATTTTCCCAAATCTCAGATTCAGCACATCCTTTTTCATCCTGCCCTATCCAACATTGTCGGCACCTTCAAACATGTTCTCTCTGTTGTGTTGAAGGGGCAAGGATGGGGGAGGTAGGGCTGAGTCTCCAAGCTCTGGCCACAATCTAAGGCACAGCTGTGCTATATATAGCCCAAGGGAGCTGAGTGGGCAGATGGGGGAGGGAAGGGACGTGTAGCTTTTGCCTTGAGGGAATGAGAGCCATGAGTGAGGGGATGGATGATGGAGAATGAACTCGACAAGGAACAGAGGATGCTCCCTGTTGGGAMTGGAATGGGAAGGAATAGGGCTGAAAGGCTGGGGGAACATAGGGGAGAGAATGTGGAGCTATATAGTAGAATCTGGGGATTTGAAAAGAAAAAGGGGGTATCATGACCAGGCAGGGGACTTGGAAGTTTCTAGACAATGTGGCTAAATTGAAGTAGTCTCTAGGAGGTACTTGGGATGGGGAGGGTATAACACCSGCTCTCCTTTTAAAATCAAGCACTGGGGCTGGGGCTGGAGCTCAGTGGCAGAGCACTTGCCTGGCATGTGTGAAGCCCTGGGTTTGATCTTCAGCACCACATAAAAATAAATAAATAAAATAAAGGCCTGCTGTCCATCTACAACCATATAAAAAAAGGAATTAAAAAAAAAAAAGCACTGAAGTTCAAGGACCTTGTAACATTTGTTCAAGGACAGCCTCAAGAGCCACAGGCCTGGTGCCACTAAAATGTCCTGGGTACCCATTAATCTTTCTGTTCACAGATTTTAAGAGGTCATGGATACAACTGGGCTTGGTGGTCCATACCTGTAGTCCCAGCCACTCAGGAGGCTGAGGAATTTGAGACTAGTCTCAGCAACTTAGTGAGACTRTCTCAAAAAAAAA